GGTCACACAGTCATGCAAAATACAATGACCTCAGCACTTAGCATCACCCCTGCTAATACTAGTCAAAAAGGGTCAAAAGAGGTCGATCAATCTAGACCTAGTCCGCAGCAGGACTATCAGGATGAACCTCCTCCTCCTCAGGATCAGGAATCACCTCAGTAGCGTCCTCAACCAATCTAGTAGCATCAGCCAGGATCTCAAAAGCCCGGTTACGGACATCCCGTCCTAGTCTAGTGAGTCGAGCCCTAGTATCCCGAAACTCCTCATTAACCACTGCAGATATGGCTACCTCCCCCTCAATCACCTCCTCGAGCTCGGCAATCCGCTCACCCTGAGCGCTAACCATCTGCCGAAACTCGTCTACCTCAGCCTGTAGATCGCGGTTGGCATCCACCAACTGACGACGTTCGTCGTCCAGAGCAAGCACTAGATAGTTCGGGTAGGCGAAAGTCAACCTACACGAACATCGAGGGTATCTATCATATGGTGAGTAGCGTACTCGAGCTCCTCCCGCTAGAGTTCGGTAGAAGATAGTCCTAAGAGGCTCATAATGACCATTCGCATGGCCATTCCGTTAGCTGTCGGGGCTCCATTTCCGTTATCCATCCCTGCAAAATAACAATACTTTTCAGGTTAGAAATTTAAATCACTACCTAGTTCCAATATCCTGCAATGCATGCGTAACTTAATCGTTGGTTCATCTCGATTGTCACTTGAGGTAGGACTAACTTAGTTGCTAGCTCGCCTCAAGTATCACTTAGGGTATGATTAAGTCATCCCGTATCGAGTCTTAAAAGTAGAGTATCTAATATGTCTCCCATATAGACCTCTAACCTAGCGATCTGATACCAACTGTGACGCCCCCACTTCTCCCTAAGGCGAACCAAAGGGTATCCGCGGGACGCCTGCCTAGCTCTCGCCAGGACTCAAACAATTCCATCCAACTTATATTCGGACCACACAATACAAATCGATAACTTAGATACAATAAATGCGGAAGTGTTCAAACTTAATAACAGTCATCCAGTCTCCAAACCACACGTCAGTATACATAATACATTTCGTCCAAAGGTTACATTTCCATACCAAAAGTACAATCCAAAACCAAAGGCATAACCAAAAGTAATAGCAAGCCCTAAAACAAAAATACATCAAGAGGGCTGCTCCATTTTACCTCCGAATTCAAACCTGTTAAGGAAAACAAATCTACAGGGTGAGCAAAACGCTCGTGAGGCCAAGAACACACATGCAGACACCTAGTTCAGATAACAAGCCCAATTAACAATTAGGTAATAGCTTGCAAGTAATTAATAACGCCAACAAAAATGTAACCAGAAACAATTCAAGAATATAGAAGCTCTCAGGAGCTAAGTTCCACATTTGCCGATGTCATTTGTATATCTCCCCGTGACGGCTCTCCGTCACCCGGGTTGATATTTTCATATCCGTAGTTCACCACTTACTTCTCATCCGTCCACCATACACCACTTCGGGCCCGCACGACATTTATAAGGCGATACTTTACGAGTATGCCAAGCGAGATCTCTCAATAGATCAAGCTTATCATGTGAATCTCATGGTTCACCGAGGTTCCCGACCAAGCCCATGCCGGCTCGGGTTCCAAGGTCGGCCTATGAGTTTGGGCGTCCCCATGTATCATGTAAATGTCGAGGAGATTCACTCCATCGACGTATGCAATCGTAGCATACCATGTCATATATTAAAGCATTTGACAGTTTTAATCATGTATTTCAAGTCATATATAACCATGCAAAGCATGTCAAACGTGAGTCATTTGTTCCAAATGAGAACGAGTGCGATTAAGTACACACTTGACTCCATTTTTCAAAATCCAATAGACTAAGCATGTAATCAGGTAAGTCAAACAGGAATTAAGTCTTTAGAGTTCAAGTAGGCATACACTTGACACTCACCAAGTTATGCAAGCAAGTAAATTGGAGGAAGAGTTCAAACTTCCACAGTAGGGTCCTCTTGGAGGTTCTCGTGCGTGCCTGAGCAAATAATAGTGAATTATCATCCATATCCCAAATAACGAGGAATAATTCGTTCACTAGTATTACTCTAGGGAATTCCGTGAAAATGAACCTCAATTACTCGTAAATCGAGGTTCGAGAGAGGTTTGATAACATTCAACAATATTTAAGTCTTTATCTAGGAAATCGGGGATAAAACGTTTAGATAATATCAAAAGAATAAAGAGTTCTTGAAAAACTCTATTTCCTTGAAAGTTGGAAAATTTCAGTTTTGTTATGAATCTTTAAAAAATCGTAACTCACTCGCATAAGTCGAGAATTGGGTGACTGCTATGACTGAAGGAGATGTGGTTGTTGCAGCTTGGGCAATACATGAAAGAAGCTACAATTGTCCACAATTGGACGAAGCTGAGGCTATTAAGATAGCTATGAGTAAATTAGCAATCAAAGGTTGGAGGAAAATCATCATACAGAGCTGCAACAAGCAACTACTTCAGCAAATCCATTCTGGAAGTGCATCAAATATCAAGCTGCATACTCTAGTTGAGGATATTCTTAGCTTGAAAGCTTTGTTTCACATGTGCTCTTTTTGTGTTTTATCTAAAAGTGTGAATCATGTTAGTATTAGAGTTAGTGATTATGCGTTAGACATTCTACATGATGAGGAATGGATCAATCCTCTATGCTATTGAGCACTTTTTGTATAGAAATGAGGGGCTTTTGCTCCAATTGTAAAGTTCAGTTGATGATCAATATATTACTAATATCGTTTAAAAAAAAAAGAGTTCACCTATAAAAAGCAATTCTAAATTATAATATTTCTAAACAATAGATACAAACATGTAAATTTCCAAAAAAAGTGGATCATTCATTAGTTTATTTGTGTGGATTAGGTCGTATGTAACTTAGTATAGAATTTTCCTAAAATTAAAATGCCAAAGTTAAAAACAACACATAGCTTACAAAAATTCAGCTGTAACTTGGAGCTGATTTTCACCAAGGAAGATGCCAATAACACCCAAAATACTCGGGGAACAATTGAACTTTGGTTTCCCATTTTCTTTTTCTATTTATACTTTAACCTGTGTCAAAGTAAAATAGATGATTAAACAATATTGGGACTAAGATCACTGAGCAGACCATCTGCAAATCAAACAAATAGCTAATGCCTTTCTGCATCCCCGTGAATTGAGGTTATTATTGCGAAAGCACGCTTCTAGTTCAAATAGAGCAAAAGCTTAGCTTTACTTTACTTAACAAGCATCAATCTGTTTTCCTGAAAAAGGAAATTGTCCAGAGTATATTTATTACATAAAAGTAATGGTTACATTTTCAACTGGCCCATTATTGAAGGGGGTTTACTTCCATTTGACAATTTAGTCCAAAATATGAAACATTATATAAATTTTGAAACTAAGTAGAGTTATGCAAAAATTTGTCGATTCAGAGGGGCTATAGTATAATATCCTAGCATAGTTTCATTAGTTTAGCATTTTCTTTTCCTTTTGGTTCTTAAGTTTATTAAGGGATAAAAGAAATACTGTGCTCCATTTTGTACAAGTTAAAAGGCGCAGAACATCCAAAGAGTTAATCTGTCGAACACAATGCAGGTTTTAGAACATCTTCGTTGATGCAAATCCCAAGAATTTCTGCAAATCTTTTCATGCCTTCTAAAAGCAGAAACTTTTGTTATGTTTCGTGATTCAAACTCAATCCATTGAGGAGAACTTTCGAAAATAAATTAATCAGTTTTGACCAAACCTTGTAGGATTGCCCCTAGCATAACTAAACTCAAAGTAGTCAACCATATTAAATTAAGACGGGGACAATTATAAACATATTTTTCCTCTTCTAAGATGATGACTAACTTTTTTTTATATAAAAAAATTATTTCATTCAAACAAATCTGCACTAATGGCAGAAAATATATCAAACAAATATGACACAAATACATATAGATTTGAAATTAATAGATATAATAGATCTAAAAAAATACAAATAAAGAAAAAATTAATGCTCCTATATATCTTCTATCCAGATGAATGACTGTAATCCAATACATCAGTACATGTCTGCTGACAATCAGATCAATTTAAAACTAGTTCAAGCCCAAAGAGAAATTTAAATCTAACAATAATAGAGAAATTACAGATTTGAGAAACTAAATTCTAGATCTACAAAATCTCAAATTTCACAAAGATAAAAATCTAAAAAACTCTCACAAGAAAAAATCCATAAGAGAATAAAACTCTCACTAGAACAATTTAGAAGAGAAGAAACTCTCATTAAGAGATCCTAGAAGAGAAAATCTCTTATTAGGTAATCCTAAGAGAAAATTTATTCAAATAAGAGAAACTAAAAACTATAAAGAGTACTTTTTTCCATAGGAAAAGACCAGATTTGGTCTTCCTCCCATGGAGAGATGAAGAAGATTTTGATGGAAGAGTTCTAGAGAGAAGGGAGAGAAAAGAGTTTTACAGAGAGAAAAGAGAGAAAAGAGTTTAAGATGATGACTAACCAGTCTTGCAGTAATTTATAACTACTCTTACATTAGTTGAAATAGGGAACCTTAGAGTATTCATTTTCATCATCTTTTTTCTAAGAGTATATTCTTCAATCTAATTCTTCATCCCCTTCCCTGTACATGAGTCTTTAGAAAAATAGATCGTCTTCCTCATCCTTGACTACAGTTCATAATGCTTTGAATGCTACTCTCTGTTATGTATCAATTAAGAAAAATGAAACTCCTCTATTTTTTACCAATTAATAAAGAAATAAAGCTTCATTCTATTCCTGCTTTCTAGACAATCAATTACTGATTCGATATGCCATATCATAAACAAGAGTATCTAATTCTCAACTAGTAGCTAGCGCAGAATAATTGTGGAGATTGAACTAGCTACAACATCCACCACCTCTGCATCACCAACTCCCCTTTTGGTGAGCACTGGTGATTCGGAGGGGGAGGACAACACTGAGGTTATTGCAACTCATTGAGTCGTCCAAATGAGGAACCGCAATATCCAAAATCAGGCTTATCCTCTCACTCTCTTCTTTGGTAACCTCTCTTACAACGTCAAAATTAGCCACAAACTTGACTGGTTTAGTATCTTCTCCTGCACCAATAAGAGCAACCTTTCTTCTAAGGAGACAGAGATGAAAGTTCTGCTTAATGATGTCTCTGGTGAGGCACATAGAGGTGAAATTTTGGCTGTGCTAGGCCCCTCAGGGTCAGGGAAGTCGACCCTGATTGATGCATTGGCTAATAGGATATTCAAGGGAAGCTTGAATGGAATGATCACCCTGAGTGGTGAACAATTGGATTCCAGCTTACTCAGAGCGATCTCTGCCTATATTATGCAAGATCACCTCCTTTTTCCAATGCTAACTGTTGAAGAAACTTTGACGTTTGCTGCTGAATTGAGGCTCCTTCAAATTCTCTCCAAATTCGAGAAGAAAAAAAGAGTTCATGATTTGATCGATCAATTAGACCATCAAACAGCAGCTCAAACCATCATCGGAGATGAAGAGCACTGGGGGGTTTGGTGGAGAACGCCGGCGAGTCTCCATTGGAATTGAGATCATAAACAATCCTATTCTTTAATTTCTCGATGAGCCAACCTCAGGACTCGACTCCACTAGTGCTTTCAAGGTTGTGAAGGTTTTACAGTGCATTGCTCAGATAGGAAGCATGCTGATCATGTCTATACACTAGCCAAGTTTTCAAATTCTTGGCCTATTGGACAAGCTGTTATTCTTGTCTCATGGACAAGTAGTCTATAGTGGATCTCCATCAAATTTGCCCTTCTTTGTGGAGAACCTTGGACAACCAATACCTACAGATCAAAACCCTTCTGATGCAATTTTGGATCTCATCTGTGATCTTGAATATTCTAGGGATGGGATTGACAGCATGGCCCAATTCAATCAGATATGGCAGCAGCAATACATGGGTGGAGGAAAAGGATCAGAAGTAAAACAATTTATTGCTAAACAAAGCCTAAATTTGAAGCAAGCTTTCAGTCAAAGTCTGGATTTGAAGCAAGCATTCAGTTCCATTATTTCTCAAGATAAATTGGTACCTGGGACAACCCATAAGGATGATTTTAGTACTCCTACTTCAGCAATCCCAAAATATGCTAGTCCATTTTGGACTAAAATCTTAGTGTTATCAAAATGATCATTCCTTAATTCCTTTCGCATGCCAGAGGTTTTCACCTGTCGATTTGGAGCAACCCTCATCACGGGAATCATTACAGCATCGTTGTTCTGGCAACTTGATAATTCTCCCAGAGGATACCAAGAAAGGGTAACATTCTTCGCATTTGTCACAATTGCAGTCTATTACATTTGTAGTGATGGATTGGCAATTACACTTCAGGAGAGGAACATAATGCTAAGAGAAACAACTTACAATGTCTATAGACTATACTCCTATTGGCTTTCTGTCTCTGATGCACTAACCTGGCTTCCATCCTTGTTGCTCCTCTCAATCACATATTCCGTCACTACATTTTGGGCGCCTGGTCTAGAAGGAGGATTCACAGGGTTCTCTATCTATTTGGAGTAATCTTGGCTTCATTTTGGGCTGGGAATTCATATATTCTTTTCCTCTCAGGATTGCTTCCTGATACCAGCTGTGCTTACATGATTATTGTCAAAACTTTGGGTTCCTTAGTTCTCTTTTGCGAAGTATACGTAACCCCCAATGAAATCCCACTCTACTGGATTCCGTTCCACTACTTATCCCTCAAGAAATATACATACCAGGCACTAATGCATAATGAATTCGATGATCCAACAAGATGTATTGTTATAGGAATTGAAGTTTTCAATGGAACTCCCTTTGTTGGTACAGAACTGGTTGGATTAAAAGAGCAGCTGTTGAGAGGCATAAGCCACGTTTTGGGCAAGAATATTATGAGCTGGACGTGCACGACGACTGGACCTGACCTATTGAAGCAGAGAGGGATGGCTGATATTGGAAAATAGGAATGCTTTTGGATCACCATTACTTGGGGAATTTTCTTTAGGATATTCTACTTCCTTTCTTTGTTGTTTGGTAATAAGAACAAGAGAAAGTAATTCACTCAGTCTTCTACATTGGTCGTTGTTTAGAAAATTGTTTAGTGTTGTAATGCATTTTCCAAACACCCTTTTATCTTAAATGTGTCACACCATGAAAATTGCTACACCTTTACTCCCGAAAATAATGTCCAAATTATCTTCACTATGAATGTGCCTTTGACTTGTTGATGGTTGGTTTTGACAATGAAAGTCCGGATTAGCCATTGTTTATTGAATTTGTTTTGATGTAATGACACATTTTTATTTATTTTTTGTTTTTTTAAACAAAATTCCTCTTTATTCATCATGTAAAATGCAAGAGAGTGATACAGCGAGTGTGGGAGGAAAGCAGGGGCAACCCCTAAGCCTACTACTACTAACGCGCATGGCAGAAGCGGACATAAGGTACTTGAAGCCTATCTAAATGAAGGGCCGAACGGACCTTCATGAAGAAAAGACAGTATCTGAAGGGAGATTCAACGAGGCCATCGCATCTGCCATCGAGTTTGTTTCACGATAAATATGGGCCACAGATACCCCCAAGGCCGTTACCACTACTTTAAGGTGGCGAAAAGCATTACATAAGGGCCAGCGTGATGACGTGTCCGACAAAACCAAGCTAACCAGCACACTGGAGTCCACTTCCGCCACACAATTTCGACAGTCCCGTTGTTGACACAACAACAATCCTTCCAACAACGCCAGAGCCTCCGCTATGAGATTATCCTGCTCCCCAAATTCTTTGTAAAACACAAAAATCAAGTCCCCCCCCCCGGCCGAATGAACAATCCCTCCACCAGAGGTATCCTTGGCTGACACATTCGCATCCGTGTTCAATTTATAGAAGCCTGGCAGAGGCTTAACCCAAGTGACCACCTGCAGTTGGGGCCCCTCCCCCTCACCTGGATACGCGTTGCCCACACATAATCCGCATCGCCTTTGAAGAAGTGCGGTTGCAAGAGCTGACCCACACACATTTGATCAGTGAAGTTACAAATCTGATCAATGATTTGATCCACCGACAAGGCCAAACCCTCTAAAAGAGCCTGGTTCCTCGCCCTCCAAATGAACCACAGGATCAAGAGAGGAATAATAACACGAATGTGGTTCCGCCGTACCAAGCTATGTGAGAAGAACCAAGATGCCAACTTACCTGCTACCCCATCTACCTTGTCTAGGATTCTAAACAAATTATCAAAAAACTGCCACACCTTTGCTGCCATCGGCCCCATTACAAATAGGTGGTTGCTCGTTTCCACCTCATTCCCACAGCAGCAACATCGAGAAGCTAGCACAACCCCCCTCCGCTGTAGGAGATGATCCAAAGGCACCCATCCGTGCAAAAGCCGCCATGCAAAGAAGGACACCTTGAGCGGGACAACTGAGCTCCAGATCAAGGCACGGACAGCAAATAGGTGTCTTTTCCTCCTCACTTGCTCCCATGCCGATGCCACCGAGAACTCACCCGACGAAGATGCACCCCACACCATTTGATCCTTGAGACCAGGGAAGATCCGGAGACCTTCGCCACAATGTTGCTAGGGAGAATCTGTCGAAGACGGTGCTCATCCCATCCGTTATTTGTATAGAACTCCCCTACCAGCATATGGGGCGGGCTGCGCCCAGAACCAAAGTAGCCATGGGGACCTCCGTGTACTACCTATCATGCAAAAAATCGACGAGACCCTCCCCTAGGGACCACCGAATATTCCCCTCATCTAGATCCCGAATATTAGGCAAGCGTCGCCAAATGGCCGAAGGACGGTCAACTGTCACCAGAAAAGGATGGCTGCCTTTGATATACTTACTATCCATAAATTGCGCCTAGATTGTCTTGCTCTCCCTCAAATACCACCATAATTTGCAGGAGAAGACGTCGACCATAGCGTCAAATGCTCGAAAACCCAATCCACCCTCCCCCACAGGGTAATAGACCTTCTCCCAAGCCGCCCAATGAATCCTCTTGGACTCAATCGAGTTATCCCAGAGAAAGGCATTACAAATTCTACCCAACGAGGCAACTACGCTACCGGAGGGAAGAGGGCCTGGAGCCAGTAGATGGGGAGTGAGCACAGCACATGGCGTATAAGGATTATCTTGCCGCCCATTGAGAGCATTTTCGCGCTCCAATGAAACAATCGCTGCCTCATCTTCGCCAACAGTCCATCAAATATAGCATAAGTGACCCTGCCCCGGAATAAGGGTACTCCTAAATACGTGAAGGGAAGTTTTTGTTCTCGAAACCCTAGAGTTGACCGCACCAGACTGTAGTGTTCATCCGTCATCTTCGACAATGGAGAAAAGGAACTCTTGGACACATTCACCTTCTGACCTGAGCAAGATTGATAGAGCTACAGAAAGTCCCTAATGGAGGTCAAGGCATCAGCAGAGCACCTGGTGAAGACAATCGTGTCATCTGCAAAAGCGAGGTACGGGACTCTCATTCCAGCAGACACAAAATATCAACTACTCGCACTTGCACATTTTTGTTTAAGTCTCACATGCATCACATTATAAAATTTACTACATCGTTATCCTCCAAAAATTTCAAATAATATTCAAAAGGTACCCTTGAATTTTTAGGTATAGATTGTTAGTTTTAAAACAGAAAAGCTAAGGGTTCCACTTAATCATCAGACTGTATAATGTAATGTAACTCACCCATTCTTAAAATGTAGCCATTAGCCAAACCAATGAAGTTTTTATAAACGAATGGTATTGCATGTGTTTGAATTAAGGAATAATTTTGAAAACCTCCCCTAAGGTTTGGGAAGACTTCGTTTGGCTCCCCTAAGGTTTAAATATTACATCCGGTTAGTATTAGAAACCTCCCCTGAGGTTTCTCTTAATAGCACTTAAAATCCTTGATTTTTTAAAACTATCGCTTATCTCACCCTAATAATTATAAAATGACTATGTTAAACCTCACGTCATACATAACATACACATCAAATAAATGGATCTCAAAAAATTAAAGAAAAAGAAACAAAATTCACTTTCTTCTGTTCTCTAGTTCTCCAACATTCCGTCTTGTTTATTTTTTTGGATGACTAAGCATTTTTTTTGTAAATTATAATAAACTGAACCTTGTTTATCTTTTTTTTAAGTGATTGTAGTAGAGTGAGGTCCAATTTCTTTGGTTATTTTAGTTATTTTTATAGTGATTTAGTATGACTTAAAGGATTGGGTCATGGGTTGAGAAGAGGTTTGAAAAAATAGGGTTCATTAAAAATTGGTTTTGATCACATAAAATTGAGTTGGTGCTAAAGTATTTCTTTACATTTATCATTTTTGTTTTTCCAATTTATACTCTTTGGAGCTATGACTTTGTGATTGGATGGTGTGAGGCCCCAGTTCGTTCTACGTTGATATATTCATTAATTGGGCGGTAACGTTTGGTTTTGGGAGTAGTTCGAAAACCCTAAGTAGGGATTAAGATTTAAACCCTAAGTTCCGGTTAAGATTGAAAACCCGTTTTTCTACATTTTCTTTATTAGAAAATTCCCCAGATAATTTTTATTGAGTAAATAGAGTTTTTAGATGATTTTTCTAGTATTAGTTAGTTTTTGAGAAATTAAGAACGTATATCGGACGTGGGACCCACTAGTGCGAAAAGTTCGAAAAATTTCGGCCAACTAGGTTAAGTTCTGAATAATGCATTTAATTTATCGGGTGTTATGAGATAATTGAAGGTTGATATATGGATGAGAGTGGAGAGAGACAAAGTGATAAACTTGCATTAAATAGGGTGACATGTGTCACCATATGATTAATTCTTGTTTTGACTTTTTGTTCAACCTTTTTCCAAATTCTAAATAAAACCAAAAATTGACCAAAAATCCCTCAAAAACATAGCAAGCTTGGCCGGCTCTCTCCCTTGAAGAAACAAGAAAAAACCTCTCTCAATTTCATACTCCAATCTTGCCCAATCTCACAAACTAACCGGTTAATCTTGAATTCCTTCCATAAAACCTCTTAGTTTAGTGCTTGTAAGGTGTTGTGTGGAGTTGGTTGGAAAGCTAGAGGACCTAGTACTCTCTCTCTCTCTTGTTCTAAGGTAAGTTGTGAAGGACCACTTTCTTCTTCTAATAATGTTTAATTCATGCTTGGTGATGAAATGAGATGCAAGTTTATGGATTACATCTTGATTTTGGTTGGATTGGTGAAGTTTTCTATTTATTGGTAATTTTTCTGTTTTAAAATGAACATGATTGTGTGGCTATCTATGATGATTGGAAATGGTATATAATGACTCTAGAGGGTGGAAATGGTGGAAGATTGCAAGGAATTTCTGTTTTGGAAGAAATCTGGAAAATTAGGGTTCTTGGTTCTTCATTCTGTCCGAAAATTTTGGTCATAGATAGAGGCCGAATTGGCCTTGGCTTAAAACATGAAAGTTGTAGGTAATGACATTTTAGAGGTACCTACAAAATTTCAGGTCAATCGGAGTAGCGTAGAGTGAGAAAAGTCGAATTTACCCTTGCTGTTCTGGTTTTGGCCGAATGTAAGAACTGCGATTGTAATTGGTTGTTTTGGTTGGGATTGCTTCTGAATTGGTTGTTATGGTCTTCTGATGAAATGTAGTCTTAAATCTTATCTTTCATATGGCTTTGGAATTTTGGAATTTGGACTTAGGTAGCCTGTTTTATGATGTTTGTGCTAGAATACGTTTTGTGAATCTGTTTTTGCGATTCTGGTATAGTATATTGCACTTTCGACCTGGTTGCACTCGAAACTAGATTGAGTAGCCTTCTTCAACATTGTAGCCCCTTGAGTCCTGTGTATGCCTGTAAAATCTCAGATTAAACGGATTAGTGTCTCATGAGTTATAGATGAAATTCTCAAGCCTGTTTTGAACATCAGATTTGGTACGTCTTTTAGTTTAGCTTCTGCCCGTGATCTTTCGGTTTTGATACAGTACGATT